AAAAAGAAAAAGAAAAAGAAGGGACTGAGAAATTGATGAAAGGTCATGGGATTAGAAATGACAAAATTGCATTTTCCAGATGTTCACACCAGTATAGTGCCACCGCAGCAAGGACATAGCAAATTCTTTTTAGGGCCAAAAAGACAACAAAGTGTACTTTCACCATTTACCATAGCCTATTCTTAAAGAATTGCAGAACAAAGACAGAATTACAAAGCACCAAGAGAAAATTTGGCAATTTTTTAAACTAGTAAAGAGAACATTACAACAAAGAGACAAAAGCCATCCAAAACGAAAACATTGTATCGAAAAGAGTAATTTTCATTTTTCAAGTAACTCGAACCTAGAAGGTCTAAAACATCAACTCTGCAACTGGTTTCTTCTTCGGGGCTTTCTTCATCTTAACTCCACTTTGATTTGGTTGTCCATCAAACAAAGACAAACCATTTTGGATTTCCAGTCCGAAAGATAACCCCACCAATAGTCCAAATACCAACCCACAACCATGGCCTAACAAGACAACTCAAAAAAAAAAAAAAAAAACTATTTCAAGCACATTAATCTCTCAATTTTCTCAAATTTTCTCAAGAATTGAGTAGGTGTTTAGGGGAAAAAATATGGAGAGAATTGAAACTTGGAATACATACTTGGCCAAGTTGAATTGCGCTGGGGAATTCAGTAGTTATGGAGAATAGTCAAATTTTTGAAGACATAATAAAACTAAAATAATATGCATTCACTATGAAGGCAAATAAAAATGAATCAATGTATAGAATATAACATTTCTTAAAAAAACAAAGAAGGAATTTAAGAATTTCCTCTATCACGTTTATACAGCCTAGGCATATGGAACCAATCATACACAGCTTATATAAAGAATCAAAATAATGCCCGCAAGCAAAATAAATCTTATTGGTGTAGGATCAAGATAAGTATCAAGATTTTTGTTGTAGAGTCTACCCATGCATTCTAAATACCCAATTAAGATGGTTAAGTTTATAATTATGCTACAAATAATTATCCCAGAAAGAAGAACGCTACATCAAAAATTCATTTATATAAAGGTAAACATTGGAACATGATGCTATTTGACTTGTCATGAAGAGTACTAAAAGAGGTAAAATATAAAAATGATGCTCATCAGTGAGCTGATATCTGCACCAGGGATAACATTTCACTCACATTAATCAATAATTCAATTGGGTGCTCAACATTTAGTCTTATTAGCCTATACAGTTATCACTTAGATCTATACCATCATTATTGTTTTAAATTCAGTCCAACTGTGAGTCATATAGAATACTAACTAGATTTTCACCTAAGTTTTCATCAATCAAGTGAAAAAACATAATCATCTTTAAAATCCTTAATTTTATGTAGATACAAAAGTTTGTGACCATCTAGAATTGAGAGAAAACCCAAGTTTTTGGCTCTTTACCAATGCAACTCAAAAGAAAATAACCTCCTCTAATTTTTTTGCACATATTATTTTAATTCTCACATAAAATTGACAAAAGATCTATTTGAGTCTTGGTCATGGCACTATGATCCAAGTCATTGTCAACACCTTGGTGTTCAAGTTGTTAAATGGCTTCTTATCTTCCATTTTTTCCCTGGTGTTCAAGTCTTTGCCAAGTGTTTGTCAATGCCTTGATGTCTCTATCAATGCTTTATACGTGTTTAATTTTCAATGTCAAATAAACTTTGCTAAAAATGAACAGATGAGGTTTAGTGTATATTATCCTCAAGAAAATATAAAGATGAAATGAAAGAGAAGATTTTTGTAATAATATGTAGATCTTAATTTGTCACACACATATAATTTTCTGACTGTAGAACTATCACTAATTAAAAGCTAATGTAGTCAGAGTAACTGTTAGCTTTTGGAAGGTTGGTGGTAGCATGATGTGATGATCCGGTATCAAAGAAGGAACAATCCAATTCTTGTTTGAAGTATTTAACGATGCAACAAATATATTGAGGTATCATTTCAGTGGCTTGAGTTTCGAACTCTGGACAGTTTTTTACAAAACTTTCATATTACATGACTGAAACGGTTCGGCACCTCTGTATACAATTGCTGTATTAATTCTTGTTAGAGGTGTATTAATTATATTTTTATTTACAAAAATGGAATCTTTTTAACATGTATCTTGAGAGTATTATGAATGTATTAATTATATTTTTAATTTATTTTTATAAAAAAAATAAAAATTAATTTTAATTTTATCAAATATTTAATTAAATCTTACATATGTCATTGATATTGAAATTGAAATTAACTTTTGTTTTTTTTTTTTTATAATTTTTCTAACATATGTCATTATCTTACAAGGTAAAGGTGAAATTAATGTATTTTTAACTTTTAAGTAATATAAAAAATAAAAAAAAATGACATTTATTTTAACACTAATTCCACTTATATTAATTTAATTGAGTAATTGCTAAAATTAAAATCAACATTTACGTTTTCTTTTTCTTTATAAAATTAACATTTATTTTTTCTACATGACTTAAAAGTTAAAATATGCAATAATTACACTTTTCACTTATGTCCTAAAATATAGATTAGAAAAACTCATTAATAAAAATGTGCAATTAATACCCCTTAATATGTACTCTAGGGCTACAAGTTAGATAAACTCTTATTTTTATCACTAATATCAAATTAAAGTTACCTTTTAATTTTTTTTATAAATTAATTAAAAAAACATAATTAATACATTAATAACTTGTATTAAAATACCTATTAAAAATGCACTAGTGATCATCAGTTCATCACCAATCTTGAAAGTGCCGTTTATAGTTTAAATAATATACAGCATTTTCACAAAGTTTGGTATTGTTAACTTTGGTGTTTTCTGTCAATTGGTTAGGGGTGGGCAAAACCGGTTTCGGTTTTTAACCGAAACCAATTTTAACATAACCAAAAATTTTCGGTTTTAATTTTGAGAATTGAAATCAAACCGAAATTTTTACAAACTGATCGATTCGGTTAACAAAAAAATCAGTTTGGTTTCAATTTTTACTAAATAAATATTAATTCATTATTTTTTTAATAATAGATTATATTTTATTTTATATTATCATATTTTGTTATATTTTGTCATATTTATCCTATTTTTGGTTTTTAATAG